CATCAAAATACGACCATACTAAGCAACAAGAGATCAACCCTAGTCTCACAACCCCCAACTGGTAACCACACTCAATCGATATACACGATCCACAATAATAGAATCACCCAGCAGTGTAGATACATGAACATGCATATCTAAAGAATCACGAGGGCATATCCAAATAATGAGCAAAGTATGATGATACATATGAATAAATGGAACTAGGGTCAAATAACATTAAAGCATCCCTGTGGCACACTGAAATAATACATGTGATCACGGCGTTAGAAGTAACTGCCTCTGGCGTGGTAGGAAATAGGATTTCATCACAGACATTGATCTTTATTGACCTGACAACATCTAGACTATTGGATCAGCTCTAGAAACTACAATTGTGTAACAAGAATTCGGTTCAGATTTTGTTTATTCATTATTTTTAGCCAATAGGAAATAGGACAGCTCGATAAGTTAGTTACAATAGATTCTTTTACATTCTGTATAAATATTGTATAGTGCGGAATGAGATACACACAGAAAGTTTCATAATCTTCATCACTATCTTCAGAACTCTTACAAGTTAGCAGCTAAATGATTGTGAGATTTCAAGGTTACGACGTCCTCAATCAGCTATCAATACGGGATCAATAAAGCTTTCTACATAGATTTCTGCAGCAAAGTATTCCTCATTTTCAATGGCCTCTAATTGTCTGGTTGAACCATCATATATCATAATAACTGGGCGAAGCAAAAGTAAACTTTCACCCTTATTTGACTGGCATAAAGGTACAGAGAAATGGGTGGAAAAAAATATAAACTCCCTAAGATCTCGATGATGTTCGATAGTGAAAATCTTTGTCCAAGATACTTTAACTCCACAATCCTTGAGAATCCACACATCATAATTAGTTACTTGACGACAAGGACAAAGCACAGAAAGATCACTTCCCACCACTCCCAGTGTCAAAGGATAACTGCTATCTCCATTACTGGGAAGCTCCTACCTTCTCCATGTCTCGTCTGCTAAATCAAGAGAAAAAATGTTGCACATATTGAACGTATCAGCATTAGCAGATAAAGCCCAATAAAGCTTCCCATTGGCAAATTTACCTGAAGAATTTACTAAAAAGTTTCCCTGAAACTTATCGACTGTTCTCCAAGAATCAGTCCTCAAATTGTAAATGTTGACCACAGTATCATATGAACCAACATCATCAGAAATACACTGAACAACTACTACTTTATAATCGTCGTGTAACTCATCATATCCAAAACCATATCTGCAATAGTAAGAGCAACCCCTCCTCAAATTAGCTCCGAATGTAGGAAATTTCTTGGACTTCCTAATTGTGGGGTTCCATAAAAATGGCTCTTCTATATTTCTATACAAACAAATCTGTTGGGTTTTGGATGTGTTTA